CGTGCTGTCGCAGCAGCAAATGGACACGGTGCTGGACGAGATGCGCGACCAAGAAGCAGACGCGGCCGAGCGCGCGCACGTTGGCGGATCACCCCCCGAGTTCCTTGCGTCGGGACTCGTCAACGTCACCATTGTCCCGGCCCAGGTCGAAAAGGGACTCGACTGCTCGGTGTGCATGGACAAGTTCCGCGAATCGGACCAAGGCGTGGTCAAGACCCCCGGGTGCGATCACTTGTTCCACCGCGACTGCATCGTGCCGTGGTTCCAGGGACACCGGACGTGCCCGACGTGCCGGATGGACGTGGTCAAGGAGTGGGAGCGCGAGTGCGAGGTGCGCAAGCGTGCAGGTGCGGCGGCAGGAGATGCCCATGCCGCTGCATCAGTTCCTGGTGAGTGGGTTCCAGACTCAGAAGATTTGGATTAATCGAAAATTTTAAGTGCCACCACCACCACCACTATTACGACCACTACATACAGTGCACATGTCCACGGCCTCCCTCGCAGATACCACCTGCGGCAATAGCGGCCCTCCCGATACCGTCGTGCTCATCGCCCACCTTGTCCACCCGCACGACACGCTGGCAGGAATCGCCGTTCGATACGGCACCACTCCCGCCGACCTCTGCGCCGTGAACCGCCTCCCGCTCAACGGCACCCAGCTTTTCGTGCATTCAACCATCGCGGTACCCGTTGCGCTGTCTCGGGTGTGCACTTGCGGCGCATCGCACCACAACGCATCTTCTTCTCTTCTGAGCGGTAGTGCACCTCCTATTCCACCACTGCTCCTCCTCCAGCAGCAGCATCCTCGGTTATCGTCTGCAATTTCCGGAGCGCGGTTTGGTTGTGCTGCTGATTCGGGCTCGCATATGAGTTTACCGACTACCTCAAGCCTCGCATTGCTTCCTCCTCCTCCATCACACGACGAACCGGATTTGGATAGCTGCTGCTGCCCACAATGTGGATCCTATTCCATATCATCTTCTTCTCGAGCAGGACTCGCGGTGAGCCCCACCTCAATGCACTCGTCCCCCACCACTGCTGACCACGACGACGATGCCGACAATAATGCGAATGCAGTAACCGGATCCGTCAGTGGGCGGCTCACGGCCATTGACGCCGAGCTCGAGCAAGCCATGGCCGACTGGAAACGGGTCACCGCCACCGAATCGCGCGTCATCTCGCCCGTCGCCGACTTGCGACGACCGTTTCGCGATGTCGTGGTGGCGGCCACCGCACCACCGGCGCCCACGGCAGCACCTCTACACTACCAGAGCCGGAGCAGTAGTGATAGTGGTGGCAGCAGCGAAACGTACCGACACTACGTGGCGGCACGGAGCACAACCCCCGAGGCGGTGCTGTCCAAAGCCGCAGCTTGGGTTGGGGATGTGCTGGGAGCGGCGGCGGCGGTATCGCCGGCCGGACTCGTGTCGCCATCGCGGTGGCGGAGCCAATCGGCGACCCCGACCTCGGCATCGCCATTCCGGGCCGTTGCTGCTGGGCTGGGGATTCAGGAACTGAGCGAAGCCGTTTCCCCGAGCAGCAGCAAGCGGTCGCGCGGAGTCACCCTGGAACGCGAGTTTGAGCTGCACGGGTTTGTTGCACCCCGAGCACCGCCACGGGCCGCCGCGGTGGGTGTGGATCCGGGGCTCGGCACCGTCGCGCGCGTATAACTCTCATTTTACTGCCCGTCGCAACCGCAAAAAGAAAAGTGTATATAAAAAATGGCAGAAACACGTTTCGCGAGTCAAACTGAACACCACGTTTTTTTCTCGTTAACGCTCAAGCTTTGCTCGGCTACCCACACGCTCATGCTCGCCGCCGCCGCTGCCGTGTCGCAGCACAAGACCCAATTAGTTTTACTGCCAGACGCACCAAAAGTGCGCCTCTTCATATCTCGCTGGAATAAAAAATTATTCGGTGGGGCTGTCGTGAAACAGGCGTCCACCAATTCATAACTGAACAGCAACCTCCCTTTCGTTGCAGCAGCTCGTCCATTTCTGTCGCAAATTAGTACGACCAATAAATTTCTTTCGGGCAACCGCCCGCCCCGAATTTATTTTATTGACTAGATATTTTACAGAAAACCATTACCGCACCTCGAGTTGGACGAACGAACGACCGACTGGCCGACCGACTGATATTTTTTAAAAGCACCCCACCACATAACAAAACAAACCATCCAACACCCGTCCAAAATGGCCTCACAAGAACGGATAGTGCTCCCTGAGTCGTACTACACGTGCGACACGCAGCATCTTATTCAAATGATCGGTATTGTATTCTTGTATGTTACTCTTAATGGTATAACTCACCAATAAAATGGAAAAAAGCCGAAATGCTGTGCACACTCATGAACCACAACGACCAAATCCCGGTCACCCACACCAACCTGACGCGGTTCCACTCCCGCGCCGCCCCCGGCATCTCGATCGCCGACTACCTGCGCCGCATCATCAAGTACGCGTCGGTCGAGCGCGCGTGCTTGCTGGCGCTGCTCCTGTACATTGACCGGGTCTGCGAGCGACACCGCTCGTTCACCATCTCGTCGCTCACGGTGCACCGGTTCATCATTGCCGCCGTCACTGTCTCGGCCAAGGCCATTTGCGACTCGTACTGCACCAACGCACACTACGCCAAAGTGGGCGGCATCTCCACCCAGGAACTCAACACGCTCGAACTCGAGTTTCTGTTTCTGATTGACTGGCAGGTGGCTTCGCCCGCACCCGTCCTGCAGCAGTACTACGTTAACTTGGTGCGGCAGTACCCGGCATTCTCGCGCTCGCTGACGGTCGCCGACGCACCACCAGGGACGTTGCCTGACACGCGGCCGCCTCTTGCGCGGCGTGGAGTCGAAATCCCGATGCCTACCAACCTCCCATCCTTGCCCCGCCTTCCCTCTGCTTCGTCTCTGTCTGTTGCTTCTTCCCCACCACCACCGCCGCCGCATTCGAATGATGATGACGATGACTCTGTGCAGAGACCGGCTGCTCCATCAGATCCGGCCTCTACACTAGCAGCAGGGTATGCGACGCCTTCAACCTTGAACGGAGCAGCGGCTGCGGCTGCACGATCAAGCGCCATGGTCTCAGCGGCACTCGGCGCGGCGACCGCCGGGAGAAGTCCTACCACCCCGGTGCAGCATCCAATGCCCGCGTAGATTTATGTTTTTATTTGCGCAATCAGCAATTTTATTATTCTTTTGGTTGCAATGTAAACTCCCTTTTTTTTTTGATCCTTTTCAATCAACGATCTTATCTCTGCATGGTCAATGGCGATCGCTGTCATTGTGGCCACCATTATCTACAAGCCTTTTACGCGGCGGCAGCCTGCCAAGGCCAAGGAGGTCGATCTCGAGGCTGGCGAGCAAGCCACGGTTGGTGCTGACAAGTCGGAGATTCCCTCGAGTCTTCACTCCATGTCCACTGTGGAAAAGGTCGATCAAGCCTCAAAGACGTCGCATGTGGAGGAGGAAGAGGAGGAGGAGGCAGCGTCTGCTGGTGGCGATGACGATGATGTTGAGAGGAAGGACCACGGAGAGTCAGTCACGGCCCCAGCGGTAGAAGCAGCCGCTGCCGCCGCCGTCCCGGTCTCGGCTTTGGTAGATCCGCTGCTACAGGAAAGCGAGATCCCAACGCCAGCAACCACCACTGCCGCTGCTGCCCTATGATTTTGGAATATATGCTTGTTGTATCTACTGTCAAATCCTTTTATGTGTCATGAACGTAATTACTGTAGTATATCGTTGTCCTTATTGGAGAAAAATTAGAGAGATGTGTCTGAAAATTTGATCGGGGAGATTGCATGGATCATCTCGCGTACCATCCGGACCGGACAGCAGACAGGATTCCGAATCAGACAGGTTCAGACGCACTCAACTGTCCAGAAACCCGAGAGGATTCCTGGTCGGACTGGTCCGGACCTGCCAGCTGGTATGGGACAGCAACATCTGGAGGTTACCATTAATATAGGCTGTTTTTGTTAAATATATTTCTTCAACTTTTCAATTCTGAGACTTGAACAGATGAACCGAACAACGAGACAGCCAGAAATTCGACTGGACATCCACCCGGTCGCTGGGGCGGACAGCCGGACGACAAAAAATTCGCGCTGGACAACTGGACAGGACAGCCAGACCGGATTTCGGACGGACTGCTAACATCTGTCCATCTGCCCTGTCCGAAAATCAGCCCATCCGTCGATGTTCAACCCAGACTGGGTATCCCATACATGCCAAAAAAATAAATAAATAAATAAATAAAAAAAAATAAAAAAAATAGTATATTGATCAATTGCGCATGGAGTGCTCTGCTTCCTGGCCCAAGGGTTTTTATTTTTTATTTTTATTTGCTTGTTGTTTGATGTTTATCCTTCCCCCCAAAAAAAAATTTCGGATCCTGCACCGAACTTGGAATCATGATATTGAAAGCTGGAATACAGGATCCTCTTGTTTCTACGTGGGTAAAAGTAGAGAGTGGCCAAAACATTGGGAAGCAGATGGCAGGGTAATGCCAATGACGATTGCGCATACTGAGGGGTGGAGGGCATCGAGACAGAGGGGAATTCTAGCTCCTGGGGGAACGAAGGATGCCTTGGCGAGCAAGGCAAAACGATAAAATGCGTAGAACATATGTGCCGGGCAAGAGACATATTTTTTCATAACAGGCAGAATAAGAGTGAGCGGTGAGCGTTTTACACCTCCAGTATCGCTAATCTCATTTCATAGGCAAGCACTATATATTCCTAAGCTTACAGGTCCAGGTGCCCAAATGGATCACATCGGAAAAAAAAAAAAAAAAAAAAAAAAAATGCGCACATGCAAGAACTTCCTTTATCCCTTTCGCGAGCATGATCTGTCATTCAAATCCGCTTTTGCCCAGGCAAAGTCCTCGCCGGCGTGAGGAAAAAAGGCATTGGACTGTTGGTTCGGAAACTCCAACAAAAACATGCGCCCAGAGTAGTATTATTGTCTATAGCTCCGGTAGACTTGCAATGAATGTTGACGACAACGACAGGGTTCGAACCTGTGCGGGCATAGCCCAACCGCTTAGTAGGCGGTCACCTTAACCACTCGGTCACGTTGTCATGGCTTGCCGAGGACGTGGACGCGCGGGCTGCGAGGGGGCTGCGGCTGCTGCACAACCACCCGCACCAAGACGACCGCGATCGCGCCGGCGAGCGCCCAGCAGGAGGTGGACGGTGCCCGCGATGTGGCACAGTCTACTCGCAGCACGACCAGCCCGCATGCCGGGTCCAGCAGCGAGTGCAGCAACGGGTCGAGGACGCGCTGCGTGGCGGCGATCCTGCGCGCATTCCAGGTTTCGTGATCTCGACGAGTAGCGGCTAGGTGTGTCCGTTCTGTGGAACTGGGCAACGTGGACGATTGGCGCAATGTGCTCCTGATGGCTGGATCCGATCCACCACGGCAGTTCATGGGCCTCCAGTGTGGACCGATGGCTTTCGGGCCCCATTCTGGGGTGCAGCGCGTGGTCGCTCTCGACAGGGGCGCGGTTGGTGGGGGTTTGAGAGAGTCCTTTGGTGGATCGGATAGACCCAGTATTGAAAGCGGAATTCAATCATTGGTACTCCTCAAATATTTGTCACTATATTCCAGCAGATAAATATATCTTTGCACAACATAAAACCGCCTGATTGTGCTTTGCAGCCCTATTCCTACCTAAAAGTCGATTCATGATCAATGAGCAACGCCCAGATAT